GAAAAAATGTATATTTTTAGTCCTGTAGTTCAATGTCATAGAAATTTTAGTCCCAATGTTCCAACTTTTCGTCTTTCGTTCTTGTGATTTAATATTTTGTTGCAATTTCAGTCATTTGAGGACTGAAATTGCTTCAAAATATTAAATAACAAGCGAAATATTGGAATCTTGGGGCTAAAATTGCTATGACGTTAATCCAGTAGGACTAAAAATGCAATTTTGCCTCCGAAATTCGTATTTCCTTCCGATTTATCACCTTTTTCTTTTTCTGAAACATTTTTCCTTTTGATAATAGCATGAGTGTTTCAACAAGAATAGCGAATAAGAGGTCCATCGACTGGACATCTGCATCTTCTATGCATGTGAATGCAATGACATCTGATGTAATAGCACCTTCTCCTTGGAAAATATTCGGCTGTCAAAACGGTGACATCATCGTACTTTAACCTATTTAAATTTGGCGGGCCGATATTTCCCCTACCACAATTTATATCTTAGTTTATGCTGTCCATTTAGGATTACGTCTCTTCAAAGAAGCAAAGGACAGAGATTCCAACGGCAGGGTAAACTTCTTCGATAAACTTTTAGCTTACGAGTGATATGCAATATAATCCCGGGTTTAGCGTAATGACGATGAAATGATAAGATTTGAAATATTCTCTTATGAGTACTATATGTAAATTGGAAACATATATTTATTTGTAGTTATACATATAGCGGTAACTTTTTAATAATTTCTTGCATGACGTGATGAATAATATATTTAATGGATTTTTTTTTATTTTTTATTTTTTGTCGTCAGCATTGGGATGATCACCCGGCTATAATGGCAGTTGGTGTTGTTGATGAATCTTCGGAAGTTGTTTTTCGTACACTTATGTCGCTCGGTACTTCAAGAGCAGAGTAAGGCTGCTCTTATTTTATTCTCAATCTGCATAAATTTAAGGTTTTGTCTTCTTTCGTTAACTGTTAGGATGCTGCAAAATGAGCTCATGAAGAACAACTTATAGAACTATACTTGCAATTCTTTAGTAGTTTTTTTCTTTAGTTATGCAAATTAGATCAAATGACGATTTCTTTGTAATTTGCATTTGGTTTAGGTGGGACTTTTGTTTCTACCGGGGCAGTGTGGTCGAGCATCTTGATGGCCATACGGATATAATTCACATTCAATTATATAATCATTGGCTGCCATGGTTTGAAATTGTTTAACTCTATTGATTTGTTAAATTTTCACATGTAGTTTATAGTTTGCTAATCTCCTAAAACCTTTGTTTATAGGGCTATGAAACGAAGAGACCTTTTGCTTCGGCGTTATTGGAGAAGAGAAGATGATGGGACATACGGTACTTATTTAATTAAAAAAACACCCTCAAGCTTTCTTCTTATTCAAAAAGAGATCCAATGCTCTATCTTGCAAAATTTCAAGTATTTTTTTTTTCGAAACGATAGATTCAATAAAGAAAAACACAATTACAGACTAAAAAGCAGCTAAACAGCCGAACAAATCAGCTACTCAGTTGTATCTAGTTGGGAGGACTAACCCATAGGCAGCCTAAAACCAAAAAAATTCGAGTATTTGCTTCATTACTTGTTTTTGGTATTATGTACCAACTTAAACTTTTTTTTTTTTTTTTTTTTATTATTAGATTGTGTTACAACTTTTCTATCTCATTCAATGTTGTATTGTTTTGGATATTTTACAGTGATTCTTTACCATTCGGTGTTCCACATAAAATGTCCACCCCAAGACGGATATGTTCGTGTGTGCCTTAAAAGTAATGTACGCTTTGATTTTAGATTATGAAATGCTCTTAATTTGCTGCTCGGGATTATATTCAACTTATCATTTTCTGCAGGTGGAAATGAGAAGAGTAATGAACTTTGTTATACATTTTACGTATAGTTTTTATCTTAATGTGTTGTAGTTTTCAGAATGCAATGGTTCAAATGAGAATCTCTTCATGCTGTAATACTTTATATGTGTCGAAATTAGTTCTTTTTTTTTTAGTTTTATTACACCTTTATACAATCCGACTTACTTTGTTATCTTCGAATCACTCTGTTTTTGTGTCGATAGTCATCAATTTCATGCATTGCACGGCTAAGCAGGTGGTGGTTATCTGATTACCCCAATTCAACAAGGCAAAGAATGTGTAATAAAACACATGCTAGCCGTCGATTGGAAGCTATGGAAATCCTACATCAAGAAAGCTTCCTCAAGATCCATAACTATTCGTATGCTCGGCAAAGTCGCAGGTTAACTACTTTGTGTTTTATTGTTTATTTTTATTGGTCTTCCCGCTCGAATTATCCTAAACCGTAGATCGATCGATAATTTTATTTTTGTTTTTTCCGGCAGCCTTGAGAGAGCTGTTCAGGGCAAAATCGGGAATTACCAACAGTCACGAGTATTTATCGGGGGACATTGGTGTCCCAGAGAATAAGAAGGAGACGATCAAGACTCAGGTCAGTTTCAAGAGGTTACAAAACGAGCCTAGTGAGGATTTGACCGTTTTCAGGCAGCACTCGACTGGCTCGAGCCTCATGGCACTCAGTGATGCGGCCGATGAATTCTTTGACGTGCCCGAGCCGTTGGATGACGAGGGCTTGGACAGCGAGTGGAATGGAAGCTCTAGTGCCGAGTATGGTTACGCGGTAATATTTTCGTTTTTTTGCTTCTTCTTTTTTTTCTTTTGATTTTGGTTGAAAAAATTAGTTTTAGTTCTATGTTTTCTAATGGAAAAGTCACTTAAATTGACACAAATATTTTGCTGCAAGTGTATGGACTCTACGTTAATGTCAAAGTACTTTGCTCCTCATTGTGTAATATGTAAAACTAACTCAAACCTTCGAGGTTTTAACTGTATCTTTTTGTAATAAGCATCCTTATTTTCGACAAATATATAACAACGTGATCAAAATTTACGCGGCCGATAACATGATTTTTTTATACCAAATATGCAGGAAGCCTACCAGCCGAAATTGTCTTCCGCCGCCATATTCGTCAAGAAATTGCACGATTTTGCAGGAGGTTAATTGCATGCAGCAACATCGTAAAATTTTTCGGACATATAAACATTTCTATTATAGTAAAAAAAAATAATCACAATAATAATTTTTTTGTAGTCCAAAAGAAAGGTTACATGGATTTCCAAGAGATATCTCGGGAAGGAAGCTTGTCACCGAATTATGGCTCCACGCTTCCAAAAGACTCGACTTCTAACATACCGTGCACCTGGTCCGCGTCTGATCCTTCCTTGTTCCTTATCCGTGGTGATAATTATCTAGTCGACAATCTAAAGGTTTTTCCCTTTTTTTGCTCGGAACTAATATTTATTAATTCTATCAATGGCATTTGATCAATCGGGACTACATTCGGCATACGAGAACATGACAACTCTATTGAGTTATTTTTAACCTTATTTACTAAGTAAGGAATTTGTTTTTATTAGGTTAAGGCAAAAGGCACTTTACTGCAAATGGTTGGTGCTGATTGGCTGAGATCCGACAAGCGAGAAGATGATCTTGCTGGTCGATATGGTAGCATCGTTCAGGTTCGGTGCATCTACATTTTTTTTCTAAATTTGACACGAATTTTATCGGTCGGTAATTTTTTACGCAAGTTTGAATCGAAATTGTACAGAAATATGCCGCTCGTGGGGCACCCGAGTTCTTCTTCGTCATCAACATACAGGTAAGAATGTTGCCAAAAGAGAAGTTCAAAAAAAAAGGTTGAGGTGAACTTACTTATGGTGTGTGTGTGTGTGTGTGTGTGTGTGTGTGTGTGTGTGTGTGTGTGTGTCTATTTAACCAGGTCCCGGGCTCGGCCACGTACAATTTGGCACTATATTATATGCTAAAAACTCCCTTGGAAGAAACACCTCTGCTCGAGCGCTTTGTGAATGGAGATGATGCTTTTAGGAATTCGAGGTTCAAACTCATTCCGTACATCTCTAAGGTTCGTTTATATATCTATTTTCACCCCAACTCTGAACGAAATTTTCGTCATCGAGTAATAATAATGCTACTAATGATCAATATCATCAACACAGAATTACAATTTACGCTTTCGTAGTTTTTTCGTAATTATGGACTAATCGAATTCTTTTATGAAGTTTCAACACATCTTTCGAGTGCGGTTTCGTAATTTACACTTATCTACATGCATTTTTTGTTTTCTTTTCAAGTGTTACGTTACGTTTAAGTTTTTGCAGGGATCTTGGATTGTGAAGCAGAGTGTTGGAAAGAAATCTTGCTTGGTAGGCCAAGCTCTCGAAGTTAATTACTTTCGCGGAAAAAACTATTTGGAGGTAAGTTTGGCGAAAAATATATAGGCCCTTGTCGACTTTTTTGGTCATGTGATTTAATATTTTGCTGCAGTTTCAGTCATTTGAGGACTAAAATTGCAACAAATTTCTAGATTTATGATTACCGATTTAAGTCCTGTAATTTAAAATTTTGTTGCAATTTCAGTCTTCGAAGAACTAAAATTGTAGAAGAATATTAAATTACGGGACCAAAAGGCGAAAAACTGAAATCTTGGGATAAAATTGTTATGACGTGAAACTAACATGACTAAATATGCATTTTTGCCTTGACATTTATTTTCGTAGGCGAACACACTAACTTGAAAATGAAGTACAATAGACTTTATTCGATCATTTCATCAATTGACTTGACTATATTGTTAACTATTAGCTCGGCATTGATGTTGGCTCGTCAACTGTAGCGAGGGGTGTGGTTAGTCTCGTGCTCGGTTATCTCAATAATCTCGTAATAGAAATGGCCTTCTTGATCCAGGTAATAGTCGAGGTTCTCCAATACTTGATATTTTACGATTGATTGTCGTGTTTGAGCATACATAATTTATGAACTCATAGCTAGTTATTTTTTCTTCATGATCATTTATAGTTTGATCTAAGCTCAACATGGGATTTTTGCAGGGAAATACAGCTGAAGAGCTGCCTGAGTTCCTGCTCGGGACTTGTCGACTTAACTATCTCGATGCATCGAAGTCGGTTTGTACCGACTCGATCAGCATGAGCTAAGATAGGAAAAGGTATATATATATATATATATATATATATATATACACACACACACACATAAGAGTTTTAAAAAATTGAATATTGAGAGGAAAAACCATAAAACTTATTCTTGATCATGCATGTTTTATTAGGTTTTCTTTTTCTACATACTTTATATATATATATATATATATATTTTAATATTTTGTTGGTTTTACTTTCCTGCCCTTCAAATTGGGGTGTGTATACTACATATACTGATTGTTGTTGTGAATTATTGCAAGTGTTTTGTTTTAAATTTTACATTATTTATTTTGATATTATTATGTATTTTTGTTTGTAAATTAGTGTGTTGGGGCTCTTTGCTGGAACAATTTGTAATTTTGTACCAACTGTTAGAGTGAAATAATTAACTTATTTTTACAGGTGCTATGCTGTTTTAGGTCACAACTCAAACTCATAAAAAAATAAAAAAATAATCAACGGGCCGTGCCTGGGGACCTCCCATGGATGACCTTTAACCGGCCTGCCAAAAACCAAGGGCCAGCCTGTGGAACTGGCCCGGTCCCCAACCTGCCGGTAAAAAAAAGGAGGACTCGGACACGGCCCATAAAGCCACGTGCCAGTTCTCGGAACCGACAATCTACGGGTCGGTTGCGGGCCGGCCAGTGGTTATATCTATATTATGATTACAATAATTGAAAAAAAAAAAAATCAAGTTAAGTTAGTCAAACAACTCCCCAATTTTCTGACATTTTCAGAGACAGCTCTTAACTTCTGTAAAAATTGTACCTAACTTGTGATTGTGACTGGCGATCATTTGTCTCGTTTTCACGCTCCTTATTCCCAGAAATAAAAAATAAATATTATATAAAATTCATAAGATTTTCTGAAAATATTCTATTTTATCAAATTATTCTAATTTTAATATCTGTATATTGTGACATACTATAATTTTGTAGTAAAAATGTTATTTTTTAGTATAAAACGATGTAAGATAAATGTGAACCGATGAATTTATAATTTTTATAGATAAATGTCTAGTAATATGAATTTTATTTTAAATTTCATATAAAATAAACTGGAAAAATAAAGTGAAATCAGTGAATAATATATTTTGTTTTAATTTTTTAATTTTTATTTTTTAAATATTCATTTGTTGTTAGCAAACCACA